CCAACTTGTAGTCTCTCTCAATCGATCTAAGAACAAAATATAGATAGAAATAACTATTGCATTAACACACTTTTTACATTACTTAAGAAAATAAAAATACTGAGCAAATATGAAACTATTCGTAATGTGGTAATAAATTTTTAAAGGTGACAATAAACTTTTTTGAAGCTATTAAACTGTGAATTGAATTGTGTTACAGTGTTTAAGAAAGGAATCGCTATTCCAAAACATGGAACAATGAAATATCATTGCATGTATCTATATATTCAGAAGAACAAGAATGTGTCCATAGTACACGGATGCCCCCACTCGCACTATCATTTTCTATGTTCAGTGGACCGTGAAATTGGGGTCAAAACTCTATTTAAGCATTAAAATTAGAAAGATTATATCATAGGGAACATATGTTCTTAGTTTCAAGTTGATTGGACTTCAACTTCATCAAAAACTACCTTGACCAAAAACTTTAACCTGAAGCGGGACAGACGGACGGACGGACGGACGAACGAACAGACGGACGATCGAATGAACGGACGGACGCACAGATCAGAAAACATAATGCCCATAAATAGGGCATAAAAATATGTCTACTGAAACATAGACTATGTTTATTCTTACTGTATGGACTTAGAATCCAAGAATTATTATCATATTTAAATTTTTCGTTTAATATAAGTACTACTGAACAGAAATAAGGTCAAGTTTTCAATAAATAAATAAAAAAAAACGCATGCAACCCTTTGGAGGGGTATTTCGCTGACCTTTTCAGACATGTTACTCTTTTAGTTGCGGTAAAAAAAAATCACAATTACTCCTAATATCCACACATTAAACTAATATGAAATGATATATTATTAGATAAGTTTCCTTTCGATTAACAAAACTCCAATAAAAATGGATAATGTGTCTATGGATTACAGATGCCTCGCTTGTAAATATACATGAGTAAACTTCCATATACAGATGCAGGATTCCCATAAATAAGACCGTTTCGGGTTTATAAGCATTGTATTTAAATTTCATAACATTTGGTTGAGGCAAACTAAAGCTAGAGAACGGAAACGACAGATATAGCATTTTTTTCCATTTATAAACGGACATAACTCTAGAACGGTAAAAGTGACACCACCTAATTTCAAGCTTGTTCTGTGTTTTTGTTGTTGGTGATAAAGCATTTTGTAAATTATAATAACATTTGGTTGAGGCAAACTAAAGTTAGAGAACGGAAACCAATTCTGGGGACGGAAGGACATGTCCCGGTAACACTACAGCGGGGTCATAATAAAAACATCACAGTGCATGCGGGGAAATATCTACAAAAAAAATTTAGCAAATATACTGTCAATTGTTCGACAATTGTACTGTAAAATACTATTACAAATCAAACATTTAAACAACAATTGGGCGCCTGAAGATGTTAGATACTAAAAATTACGAAAAGGGCAAATAACGCGATAAACTGCATACATGTATATAACAATTCAAATAACCACAATCCCACCGATAGTATGAATATGAAATAGCCCACTTAAGTTATCTCAAGAATAGATACACCATAGTTGTAAAAAAAAGAAGGTCTTACACCTCAGACACGGGCGAACTTTGTTTTACTGCATCCACACAACACTAAACAATGCGAGTAAATAGAATGGACGAGAAAGGATTTAAGTAGTAATTCTTATGTTAATGACACGAATGTCTTCAGTCAACATGTAATATGTTATGACCAGCTATCACTGCATGCGTAAGTTTTAAATATCCAAAACTTCTAAACTTTAGACATACCTCTTCAGGTCTTTCACAAAGTCATGATCGAGTTGTTGATCAACAAGTGCGGGAAATCCTGGTGGTAGTACTTGTTCTCCTTTATTCATTTTGAATATTTCTAATGGTCTTTCGTTATGGCTTGAATGCCAAACATCGTCAGTGGAAAACACCTTAAATTTTACAGTTGTGTGGCCTACAGCATCATTGAAAATTCTACAAAGCATAACTTAATTTTAATATTGTATATTATAATTACCCAACTACCTACAGTATATATACTATATCAAGTCCTATAGATATGGAAGTAAATTAGAATGGTAGAGTAGACTACAAATTCAACTTGGATGGGTGTGTGTGGTGAGGAAGGGTATGACAAGAAATTTAAGGAACACTTACATACATAACAAGATCGTCTGAACACATGAGGTGGGGGATACTTTTTTCATCAATCTTTATATATATGAATAGTTCTCTTCACATACTGATAAAATAAATTTGAGTGCGCAGCAATAAACTCAAAAGTACGGGGTAGGGCTTGGGGTGGAGAGGGCAAAAACATCCTCAAGGTTACATGCAAAAAAAATAGTTTTGCCCTCTCCACACATCCCACAAGCTCAAAATTATTTCCGACTGATTTTTAAAATTAGTAAGGTCAAACAGTGGTGAGTGTTCTCACAAAATGGTAGACCTGGATATTAAGAATATGAATCCATTTTAGGATAAAACTGCATACTATATTTGCTATATATATCTTACATGCCTTGTATTGTTGGATTGCTGATTCACTCACAAGTGTCAACGTTTTCCTATATATTCATACCCTTTACTCCAATTAACGCTAATAATATCAATACCTCCATAAATCAGCAATATCATAGAAATATGCTACTTGAAACTGAATTATGTCGATTGATCAACAAATATAATAATGATAATATTATATAACAAAAAATAAAAGCATTTTTTTTTATATTTTTGCATGCACACAATACAAATCATGCATACACCCGCTCTCTCACCTTTACTATGTTGAAAAGATAAATTACAAAATTAAACTGTATGAATTTGGAATCAGAATATGTTTTAAAATATACCTATATAACTTTGGAAACGTAACATTATGTATCTGGTTTACGTAATCTTCGAGCCATGAAGAGATATTCCACACACCACGAATGTCTTCGCTTTCTGGTAGAGGAGATTGTGATTCTCTAATTAAAGTATGCAGTTCAGGAAGGGTAATGGCGTCATTTGTCCTGAGTTTGTGACTTATCTTAGAAAAAGACTGGTCGACATCTTCGTGTGTGTGGCCGACTATAAGAAATGACATCCATACCTAAAATGTCAAAGTAGGCTGCATCATATATATATATTCAATTGGACTTTCATTACCTACTCTTTAGACAAAAAGTCAAGGAGGCCTATTGCATGTAAAGAATTGTATGAGCATTCAACATTTACGAAATAATAAGAAATACATGAACCTAGTCAACATTGAAGTACTGAACCAACTATATACCTATAACGTATACAAGGCGAGCTCACTAACAGGAGACAACCTAGGCACTTAAAAATGTTACAAGGAGTATCGAAAGTTACAACTCTCGTCACCAAGCTGTTTCCAATATCCCAGTATATAGGTACGTACAAAAGAAACAAGAGTACACATCATGTCATAAATGTAGTCACATGTATCATTTAGTATTACTCTTCATACATTAAGTGCGTTCGAAGCGGTCTTATTAGTTTACCTACATCGAGAACGTTCAAATCCTAAATTTGAAAACCAGGGATGTAGAATCACATCGAAATGTTAAGAGCCATATGAACAAAAGAGACATAAAAAGTTCGTATATAGTCTTAGATCAATGATCCAGTATAAAAGAGCCGAGGTTACATGAAAGCAATGCGAAAACGGACATTTTGAATTGTTCGACATACATTCATTATACACAACATACAAATATAATTCACACATTGCTTGTAGTATCTGAGAAAGGGGCTAATCGCATAAATTTTATGTTAGCCAAATAATCAGGAATGAGGTCAGATAAACCCTGCTAGATAGACTTGTACATTTTATACTCATCCTTTACACCGAATATAGTTGACCTATTGTCCAAAGTACTTGAAAAATAGTCATCCTTGATGCGAAATCTTGATTTAGTACAAAGTCAGTTGATTTAAGTTTATGTGGTTTGTCTATATCAACATGTCTATTAATGTAAAAATCCTTACCTCTTTGACGATCTTCTTTTTAACTAAATATGCCATCATTCCAACGAAATATTTGTTTTTGTTTTCCCTACAGAAAAAAAAATATATGATTTAATCATTTAAGCATTTTTTGTCGAAAACCAAGACCCATTACTCGTCATTAAAGAAACAACGGTTGCTTTAAATGTTTCAATATAGAATGCATTGATGTTCTACATAGAGCCTCTATCCAGAATCTTTTAACTTCGCTATGATTTAATGTTTTTCTGCAGTCCTTCAATGATATTCAATATCAAACGTAAGTAATATTATAATCAAACTGGAACACAATTAATTAATGGCTACCGTCTTTTTTATTTGGTTAAATCTCTGACTTCTGTTGCTATAAAAATCAAGTTACCTGCAAGTATTGTCTAATTGTACAAACAGTGTTGGTGGTAGCTGTTTTTCTTTTGCTTCCTTTTGCAATATTCTCAGTAAGCAGGAAAGAGTTAAGTTTGTGTCGTGTTTGAATTGGTTGTAGTCCAGGAAATACTGCTTTCCTCGTCCATGAACTATGGAACCAACAACATGAGTTCTTAATTTCAGAGCTCCAGCGCCCTAAATGGAACAAAAATGCATGTTTAATTGAGATATATTTATAACCCATTTTCAACTTTTCTCATTCTCAGTCCTGGGGGTTTCAGATATATTTTGGGAACCTTTTATTGTTAGAGATTACGCAGGAGGAACTAAACACTATATTACATAAAAATGGTGAAGTCTTCCTACACATTCTATAAGTCATTGGCAGACGACATACTTTGAACGTAACAGCTTGTAATATATATATACACTAGCAACCAACCACAGGACATCAACGGAACATTTGCATGATCCACCTATAGATAAGAAGTTAGCTATATCCTTTAACTCTACGTTCTGCTATATAGATGATGTTCTCTCACTAAATAAAACAAAATTTGGTGACTACTAGTATGTTGAACGAATTTATCCCATCGAACTTGAGATAAAGGATACTACAGATACAGTTAAGTCTGCCTCATATCTTGACTTACATCTAGAAATTGACAATGAGGGTCGGTTGAAAACAAAACTTTAAGACAAAAGAGATGATTTCAGCTTCCCAATTGTGAACTTTCCATTTCTATGTAGCAACATTCCAGCAGCGCCTGCATACGGAGTATATATCTCCCAATTGATACGATATTCCCGGGCTTGTGTTTCCTATCATGATTTCCTTGATAGAGGATTGCTGCTCACAAGGAAGCTATTAAACCAAGAGTTCCAAATGGGGAAGTTGAAATCATCCCTTCGTAAATTTTACGGACGCCATCACGAGTTAGTTGACCGTTATGGAATAACCGTTTCACAGATGATATCGGATATGTTCCTTATGTCGTAACTACAATACCCTCCCTTTTCACGAATGTGACTTACCGAATTAGACTATTTACCGGATTTGTAATAACATAAGCAACACGACGGGTGCCACATGTGGAGCAGGATCTGCTTACCCTTCCGGAGCACCTGAGATCACCCCCAGTTTTTGGTGGGGTTCGTGTTGCTTAGTCTTTGGTTTTCTATGTTGTGTCATCTGTACTATTATTTGTCTGTTTGTCTTTTTATTTTTGGCCATGGCGTTGTCAGTTTGTTTTCGATCTATGAGTTTGACTGTCCCTCTGGTATCTTTCGTCCCTCTTCTATCGTTCACAGTTCATCATTCATAAGACGACAAAGTTGAGCGACCATCCAAATTAATGATCAAATGATGATTTTAACTGTCAACATCAAAGTTTGTCTGGACAGAGTTTGGGCAGATATATATATCCATCTAATCTTTAATACCAAGAGATATCTAATGTTTTTTTTTTCTTCATAACTATTTTTTTGTTCGAATACGACAACTTTTTGTACTTACATTGGGATTATTCCATTTTACATAATGTGAAAGATCGGTCTTATTTTGATCCATGCCATCCAATATTATGGATACATATTCATTTGGCCTCATTTCTGCCATTCCTCGTCTAACATAATAAGCTTCTCTTTCAAGTCTGAAATGTAGTTATATCAATTTGAACAAAAATATCTGATATTTTTTTTTTATTATTTCATTATTACGTGGATGCATGTGATTCTCTCATTTAGCGGGAAAAGGCAAAACACTATGCGGTATGAGCTTTGCTTATTGTGGAAGGCCGTATTGTGACCTATAGTTGATAATTTCTGTGTCGTTTGATCTCTTGTAGGGAGCTATATCATTTGAAAACATACCACATTTTCTTTTTTAAATGTATACCAATCTCCGTTCTCATTGACATGGATAGTGATGACATTATACTGCATATATTGCATTTCAATATCCACTGCATTTGTAAATGCTGTTTAACAGGGACAAGAATTAAAATATCAATAATATAAGGTGTTATCAAGATATCAAGGTATCACAATAAGTGTCGCTATTACTGTACAAGGGTATAGTCACCGGTGTGAACACTAATTTAAAAAAAAAAGTGTTTACTAACTGTTGTTGACGGTGATGAAAATCTAAAAGTTCTTCTAGCTCCATTAATATAATTGGGTCCTTTTCTTCCTCTATCATCTTACACAAATCATGACACTGCGTACATTTGGTGAATCGTTGTGTCTAAAAAAAACAAAGAAAACTTTACATGCCTGTCCCAAGTCCCAAGTATAGCCTGTAGAAAAGTGGTTGTCACTTGTTCATCTCTCTAATGTTTTTTTTTTCGTAAATAGTTTTGTTATTATTTAGGCATTTTGTTTTCTCAATTGAATTGTTTCATATCTATTCATGTCGGGCCCTTTTATAGCTAATTATACAGTGTGGGTTTTTCTCACTGTTGAAGGCCGTACGGTTGCCTATATTTGCTTAAACACCCACTTCATTTAAACTTTGGTGGATAGTTGTCACATTGGCAAGCATACCACATCTATATATGTTTTAATATTTAGAGTTTTAAATAATAATGCTGTTCTTGCTCCATTCTCTTTTTTGAAAAATGCCTTTACATGTATATCGATAGTTTGATTTGTTGGTTAGAAATTTCAAAACTAAAAGATTCAACATATAAACAGTTGATAAAATTTTAGTTTTCAAAATTACCAAACCACCCAATAGGTATCAATACTAGGAGCATGGACACAGTAAGTAACCGCTCTACGGACTGAGCTATTAAAGTATCCCATTATTACACCAAGGATTTGTATTATACAAATCCTTGATTACACCTAATGCATGAGTCCAATGCAGTTATAAGGCAAGGAAAGCATGCCAGCATTTAAAGATGTTCGCTACTCTGTTTCATAATAACAAGCTTTTTAAAAGACTGTAATATAATGATAGTATATAAATAAAGAAATCAAAAAAGCGTATAAAAATAAAGGGTCTGTGTGCTTGTTTTTGAGATATAAGACATTTAAAATTTGGCGGTAAATAATTTAAACTAGATTGTTCATACATTTAACATTGGCACCTTTTTTTTATTATTTCAAACGATGAAAAAATAACAAGAATTTTATAAGATTTTCAAAGAAAACATTTGAAACTTTATGTAATAAAATCATGGAAAGAAAAGAAGGGGTTGGTGGGCAAAATTTGTAATGGCACTGCATGGATAAAACCCGAGGATTCCGAATATCTGTCAAAAATTCAGAAACGAGAGGAGCGAACATCCTTAATTCATACATAACTGGTTCTTTATTTCACCAGCAAATAAACTGAATGAATACATTTTAAAAAGTATTCACTATTGTAAAATTACCGCATTAAAAGACAAATCTGGAAACTTCTGCTTTAAAATGACATAAAACGCGCTCTTCTCTATACCATCATCTGTATGAGTATTTCTATATACTAGTAGATTAAACAGTCTGATGCGACTTATTCCTACTGGCATTCTATATCTTGTTTTAGATGGATCACTATCACATGCCGACTTAATGTAAGCTCTCAGGAATCCCTCGCAAATTTTCCCTGAAAACATATAAACAGTTCATATTACCGTAAAGTCTTATTAGGGAACAACCATTTAACTTCATGGGTAGGGGTATGTTTTTTCCGAAAAAACAAAAATTCTGATCGCAAATTCATTATTTTTTTTTAAAAACAAATATTGTGGTCAAGCATTAAAAAAAGGAAGAAAAAAAAAAAGAAAAGAAATTTCTGACAAAAAAAACTTACCCCCCCCCCCCACCTTTTGAAGTTAAATGATTGCTCCCATACGGGGAAAAACACATTTTTTTCGAACCGTCCGTTATCATAAAAATAAAGAAGATGCTTTCCAGATTAAATAAAAAATCATCAACAAAAGAACAATTGAGGGACATTTTGATCGTGTTCTTGCATGTTTATTTTTCAGTACTAGTAAAAGTTCTCAAAACAGACTCAGAGATGATTTATCCTGACTTATTAATCATAGGAATATTAAAAAAAAACCCAATCATTCAATCAATCAATACTGCATAATTAATAATAAAAAAAGTGCCTGTAAACAAAACAAGTCTAAACAATTTTGTATACAGTCTTACTTAGATGGAGGGTTGTCTCATTGGCACTCATACCACATCTTCTTATATCTATTAATTACCTCTCCATGAATGCGTCTTTTTCTTTTCTAATTTTGCTGATGTAGAGGTTTTGCTTATAAGTCTCCGCTTTGCTCTAGTAAACGTTGGAATTGAAATTCTTAGGACAAGAGAAATAAATGCTTTCCTGTTTATTGAAAAAAAAAAGTTCACATGAACAATTTTCAATGTCGTCTATACATTTTTGAAAACCTGACTTTAAGTTAATCTTAACACATCGTTTACAAGGAAAGTATTCAACAAATGACATTTTCCGTTACCAGGTTTAAACCATGTACAAAAATAGGAACATTGCACATTTTACAAATGACATATGTAAGCATCTTCAACTGTGTTTTTGTGTTTCTCATTTTATACATTATTAATATCGGGAATAAAGGTGTCCCCAAGAATAAGTAAGGCCTTGTGAAAATGCGAATCCGAGAATCTTTTTCTCTCGCGTTTTTGCAATTTTGCCTTTTCCTCTCCGATATTTTGTTTTTTCACCGAAATGATGAAGCGTTTATGCATGTTTTTAAGCACTACAAGTTTGTATTTTTTGTATATTCTATCCATTAGGCAATTAGATACGTTCAGTAAGAGTCACATGTTTAATTGTATACTAAAAACGGCCGAGAGAAAAGTGATATATTACAAAGTTATTTTTAAAAACGAAAAAGGCCGCATCCGGTTCCCATAATGTCATTCATTATTGTAAAAGATGATTTAAAATACTGTTACATACCGGCAAACACTCCTCTGGTCGACATGGAACAATTGACAACGTTCATGCTTCTGGAGATTTACAGCAGACAGACGAATTATTTGGCATATTTTCTCCATTCTCTCCCTCCCTTCTGGTATGCTGTGAATCTTCATCCTCCAATAATATATGTCTGCTGGTTGAAATTTGGAATAACAATCTAAGCTGCATCCGCATTTGTGTTCATCTAGTTCTGTTGCAATGTTTCTGAAGTCTAATGCAGACTGTCTTCTTCTAGAGTTGAGTTCTGTTTGATTAATGAAAAAATAATAATAAGCTACACTTTCTATTCAGACATATTAAAATGTACAAGTCTAATTTACGCTATGTGATATGCAAATTTAACTAGCTTGTTTACCAACCTTCCCGAATATGGCGATCTATGCATAAACATTTATTGGGAAATTAACGACCCATGATCATCATTTGATTAAAATATTAAACTGTATAAATATTCAAACTGAATTTTGTCGCTTTTAGTCAAATAAGAACAAAGAAATGCAAAAAACACAGAAAGACTGTTTAAAAGTTTTAAAACTTAAAATTGAACGTCCATTGCCATACACATAGTCATAGATGTCGTAGACTGCTGTCATTTTTTTAAAATTTGTTTGTCGTTTATTGTTGTTAAGATATAGCAGGTCGTTGTTTTCCTATTTCTAATTATTGTCATTGAGATTTTGTCAAGTCAGCGCCATGGATAGCTTACTATACGGCAACGGTTTAGCTCATTGTTGAAGGCATGAAAATGTGTACATTCTTGTCATTCGGTCTCGTGTGGATAGATGTCCCAGTTGCAATCATACCACATCTCCTTATTTCACAAGGCCGAATTATTATGTTAATGAGTGATTTTGTTTTCTTTTAATTACCACTTGGACTCCGTCCCTTTGTATAGGATGTTCTTTTCCCTTGTGGGGTAGATCGATGGGAATCCTGTGTGCTCATTGCAGCTGAAATATATAAATATATTACATATGATGTAGTATTCTCTTGCTTTCATTGGATAATACGATCACGTGTTTCAAAGGTTATTTGATGTATCCGAAACCTTGTTTCTATTTTTATGAATATTGACGCTATATTACTATTTGTACGTATATTGACGGTCAATATTAAAAATCTGGTAAATTTAGATTCATGACGTCACACATAACATGCATGGAGGAAGCACCGCAGCAGACGATTCGAAAAGAAAATTTGCATGTTTGTCAGAAGGAGATATGAACACTTTTATGTTAAATGCAGACGCTAATAATACGTATACAAGAAAGCTAACGCAACAAGCTATAAAGTTGTTCAAAGAATATTGATATTTTCAATAACATGTTAGAATTCTTGCAAAATATAATTAAAAAAAACACAGATAACATTGAATGCAATTTTCCTTATATATCATTTACATATGTAATATATAAATAAAGGACTTTCACCCAGTCAATACGTTAAAGTTGGACCTGTTAGATTATATTGACACTCGGACTTCGTCCTCGGTCAATATAATCTGAACAGGTTCATATATAACGTATTGACCTCGTCAAAAGTCCATAACTGATAAATAAAACATGCTTTATGATTCATTTAATAAGTAGTGCATGTTAACTTTTATATGGAACCAAATATTTTTTTAAATAGGAACATTCCATACATTATTTCTTTTTGTGGTTTAAGTTTGTCCGTTAACTTCAAGACAAAAGAAACTGAAAATGCGATTTTTCTTCATGGAGATTATTAAAATGTCTTAGCACGTTGCCACACCAGCAAAATGAAATAATGTCTGAAGAGGTTCCATTCTTAATAACAAATCCTTTAAATTACTGAATCTATTTATTTAATGATAATTAAAATAATGATCAAGCCATTGAACCGAAAAACATCGCTTATTTTGGATACTGAAAAAATGCTTTATTTGACATCCTAGCTGTTTTAGTTTCGGCTTACTATATTGTTTTTATTGGTATTAATATTGATTTTGTTATCAGTAAATTAAAAGCAAACTAAATATTGTTGTTATATACATATTTGCACATTCATGGATTTACAATCTGTCGATACCTGTATCTCATAATCTTGGCATTGCACAAGGTCATGTTTTTCTCTGACTGTTAAACGTCTTTACACTAAATCCGTTGGATGTTGAATGCATGTGTACTGTTAATTTAGTCTTAGATGCATTATTTTTTATATTATTTGTTAGCAGCTTTGAACTAGCTGTCAGTTACTGCGAGTACTCGCAGATCTGTTCTTAGTGTCTTTTTTGTTGTTGGAATGTACAAGTACCCGGCCACGTGTTTTTGTTGTATGCATTTCTATTTGTATCCATCTAATGAGTTAAGCCTTTTTCAACTGATTTTTATAGTTCGTTCTTATGTTCTACTGTTACACCACTGTTCCAGGTTAGGGGAGGGTTGGGATAACGCTAACATGTTTAACCCCGCCACATTCTGTTTGTATGTGCCTGTCCCAAGTCATGGGGCCTGTATTTCAGTGGTTGTCGTTTGTTGCTGTGTTATAATATATTTGTTTTCGTTCATTTTGTTGTACATTATTTAGGCCGGTAGCTTTCTCTTTTGAATTGTTTTACATTTTCATTTCGGGGCCTTTTATAGCTGACTATGCGGCATGGGTTTTGTTCATTGTTGAGGGCCGTACGGTTACCTATAAGTTTTAATTACTGTGTCATTTGGTCTCTTGTGAAGAGTTGTCTCATTGGCAATCACACCACATCTTCTTTTTTATATTATATTATATGATATAAACAACATATCATTACATAAACATTACTAAACTGAACTGAATACAGGAAAGGTGATAAAGAAAGAACGACATAGATAGTGATCACGATGTGTGTTTAACCTAATATTTTGACACCCTTTTTCCGACATCTCCTTTCCCCTTTTCCCAACACGCAAAGACGCTTAAGGGGACCACCCCTTTTTATGCGCAAAATTGTAAGTGTAATTTCAATTTCCAATTATTTTTACTGACGCGATGCATTTCTGCTCTAAAACATTCCATACGATCTTACAATAACAGTATTGTATACATGCTGTCCTTTATTCTTATAAAAAGATGGGCAGCTAATATGACCTTGTAATATTTGAAAATGTATTTAGCTGTTAAAATTGCTTCTACGTTAGCACGTTACATGTATGCATTTAAAGTTACAGCAAAGAAGATGAAAATGTGAAGAGCGATATTTCTTCCAATAACAGGCTGTTACCTGAACTATAGCATTGAAAGCCGGTCCAGCGTATGGGTCTAGTATACAGCAGGTCCCAAATCCATATCAATTTCACTTTTTTTGTCCTGATATGCATGTAATATTTTTAACTTGACTTTTTAACATGAGGCTATCAATCCAATTAACAATCAATTGCTTGTTTCAGAACGAGAACAAATCAACAATTGATATAAAATGATAGCCTGAGCCAAGAGTTTCAATTGCCAATTGAAATTGTGGGTTTGTTATAAAGGGACAGAAGTTTTGTCTTTCACTAAGAACACCACAAAGAGTTTTTACAAGACCTATTTCGCTGACAACTGACACCCTTGCACTATACACGAGGCATCAAATTTAGTGTCCTCATTCACACCGGACCTAAATATGAATTCCGCACACAAAAATGGACGCTCACTACACAATAGATTTGTAAATAATTTTAAATATATCTATAAAACACACAATGTGAACCTTGAAACAGCTTAATCCACCATCAAAACCAAATTCTCCAATTTATGAAAGAAAAATACGACGACTAAAGACGAGGCACGTACTTGACCCGTGAAAAGGCATATATCTGTGGGTTTCAGAGATTATATATTTTTAGATTGAATATTGGTGTTGGTTAAGATTTTCTCGTTTAATTTTTCATATTACTGAAATTTTGAGATTAGAATGTTGAGCATCTGTTGTGATATATAATTATATCATAACTATGGTATAAAGATTAAGAGTAAAATAAAATAAAAAAGATAATCCTTGATTTGTTCTTGAAGTTAAATAGTTGAAAAAAAAGTGATTGTGGAAATACGCCAATGAGACAGCAACCAAACGATAATTCAACACAAAAACACACAATATTAAGCCCGAACAGGTGTCCACACACAATGTGAACCTTAAAACTGCTAAAGCCTTTCCACCTTCAGCACTCCGCTGTACGTTCATGTAGGATCAGTACTAAATGTATTTACTCTTGACTTGAAATTTGCTTTGCTTTCACTTCTATGTCGTTTGGTCTCTGGTGGAGAGTTGTCTCATTTGGGAATCATATCCACATTTCTTTTTATATCTATATTAAAATATTGTACCCCATTTGCTCCCACTTGAGGATTATTATATTTACCATTACGCGCAATATTATTTTATCATATTTGCGCAATATACAGTCCTCTGAAATTATGAGTTAAGCCATTCTAAAATTACAAGAGATATTAATTTTAATTATTTTGTTTTTGTTGTCTGACTTTTTTTTTTAATTTAATACAACCATGTAGCTTGCATCACAAGCAGTTATACGTAGAAGTGAAAAGATTATAAATATGTGAATATCAGCGACTCTTTTCACAAACAATCTTACGATTAAAATTGATCGTAAGTTATACTAAAATGTGTATGACTTACGAGTATTTTTACTCTTAGGATTTTTTGTGAAAAGAGCCGCAGATACGCATACGTTCATTACTTTTAACTAGATGGACTTTCAATCGCATATTAAACCAAAATAAATTACATGTTTTCACCTTATATAATAAAGCACGCTTATTCAACGATTTTTAAGAGCTAATAGTACGTAATGCACACAATCGTAATGAATATATGAGGATTCTAGGCAAGCTTCTTCACTTCGAGATCTCAACCCTCGCTTTTTAAATCCGACCAATATCTCAAAAAAAAAACTGTACACATATGAACATATCACAAAAACACACAGTTTATTGATATTCACAAGAATCCTTTCAGCACTACTGATATGAATGAAGTTTTTAAATTTAACATTGTTTTATTTTTAAACGAAATTTGAATATATCCCTAAATTAGATACTTTAAAAAAAATAATGTGTTTCATCTTTTTTCACGTTCACTATTAGTTTTTTTTTATTTATATGAAAGAAAGTATACTGGAAAATGGAAGACTGTATGTCTTGATTTTTTAACGCCTTGGAGATATTGATATGAAGGATAAAAACATCTCAAACAAATTACTACTATTGAGTTTAATGTAAAGACCGAATTTGATGTGTTTCCTCTTCAGCTTCCGCATGAAAACTTTCATTAATACCTATCTCTCAAAATTTACTAGGTATGAAATGTTGTTTTATTACTAGTATATTAAACAAATGTAATTTTATCCATCACATATGGCAACTCTCCTTTGTAAATATCCTGCTGTGCTTGAATGAAAAGATTTCTGATAATATAAAGAAACTTTATCATGTATAGCATTGCGATGAAATATGTTACATGTCATTAATAACAGTTACATAATTAGATGGTGATACATGTATTGATAAATGTCAGATTAGATTGAGTATCTGTTATGTGCCAGTTGGATTATCTATTTAGCTTATCCTATTGCAAATTATATCGTCAGATCATATTGAATAATGTAAGAGGAGGGCTAATTCAAGTTGGAAAACTTTTGTCTAATCCCTTTGTTTACCTGCAATAAAGTAAAACCAAACTAAACAAAATTGATACGGCTCTCAAATACGCTTCAGTAACGCACATTCCTCTTTGTTTTTTTGCTCTTGATTAAATAAAATCAGCGTACACTTTCTATACTTAAAATACATAATTGCTAGCAATAAAAAAAGCATATCTTATTTAAGTGTATCGTATTGAATACACAAGCAAAATAAGCAGCCAAATTTTCGTCTTTCCTACTTCAATTGATGAAATATTTGCAAGCAGTAAAAGAGCGCATACAAAAGTTGGATAGAATGGCAAATTAACGAACAAACAAACAGACGAACTAATGAAAAGAACGAACAATTATCTGTGTGACTTTCAAAACATGGGAAAAATTATCCATTTATTTTGTTTTGTCGTAAAAATGGACCCATACGGTTGAAAAACTAGAAAATTAACTGTTTCATACAATACAGCACATAAGTGAACCAAAAGAAAATTACTAAGTTGTTGTGAAAATAATTTTCAGTGCAACAAATATAAATAAATAGATTACTTGTAACAGGATAAAATCTGATTGTCCATTTTTTTTTTTTTATCTTTTTCAAATACTATAACCAAATAATCGTAAGAGGGGCATAACTGTATTCTTATTTGTTCCTCGTGTGGTAAATACACCCAGAGTTAAGTATGTCATGGCAAGGCCAAATAATTATAAAAAAAGTAACTACTAGGACCAATTCAGTATGAATATTTATTTATTAGTCCCAGGTACAATGTACATGTGTGGCTGTCTCAAGTCAGGACTTGTAATTCATCGGATTTCGTTTGTTACATACATGTATATGAACTCACCATAAATACAGGGGTTCAAATTTTGAACGCCAGATAATGTTTTTGATTTCAAAAGACTCATCGCCGGAATGAAAAAAGGAAGAAAAAATCAAATAGAGTACGGTGTTACTGTATGAATAACATTGAAGACCCTATATTTCGAAAGGTTTAGCCAAATACAGCTAAGTGATCTATTCATAGGGTAGAACATTCATACGGTCTTGTACGGTGACCTATAGTTGTTAATATCTGTGTC